GGCGGTTTATATCAGTTGATTTTCCAATGCATTATCTAAAAAAATATTAATGAACGCTTTATTATTTGGCCTCTGTAGCTAAATGGTATAGCACTTCAGACCAAATGACGGTTCTGCGTAGATACAAGTTCGATTCCTGTCGGATGATACATACTTTCTATGAAATTTCTCGGAGGTTCAGGCCGGTAATTGTAGTTAATACTGTTTATTATAAGCATTTACTTAAATATTTGTATCTATAAAAATAATGTATAAACAGAAAATATATTAAGATATATATATTTTCTGTTTATACCTTATTTTATAAATACACTTATTTGCGTAAATACTCTATTTGTTAAATTAAACAGTATTAATTACATTTACCGGCCTGAATGTTCGAGAAAGTTCTTAAGAAATATGTGTTCCTCGAAAGGAATCGAACATGTATCCTATACCTTCGTCGATTTTTCTCGATCTCTCATATCTGCTCTGAAATTATAGCCTAACGAAAACAATGGCGATATATAATATGAAATGGATTAAATTTGACAAATATTATAAGATATTTTCTGTTTATACGTTTTTTTATGGATACACTTATTTGAATAAATACTCTGTTTTTAATTAAACAGTATTAATTACATTTACCGGTCCGAATGAATTTTCAGGGCAGATATGATAGCTCGGGAGAAATCGGCGAAGGTTTGTGTTTAAAAGCAGTAATTCGAACTTTGCTAAAACGGAAGTTCTCTGTAGCTGAACGGTCATGCCACGTCTGGCTTAATGACGGCTCCCTATAGGATACAAGTTCGATGCCTGTCAGAGGACGAATATTTTCTACAAAATTTTTCGAATATTCAGGTCGATAAATATAATTAATACCGCTTAATTAAAAAAAGCAGAGCATTTACTCAAATAAGTGTATCCATAAAAAATATATATATATATATATATATATATATATATATATATATATAGTTTATGAAAAACTAGGTAATCCGTATGGGTAGACCCAAGAAGGTTAAAGGAGGAGAGCTCAATGTAAATCCAGAGCAAATAATTAAAATAAAATAATTTAAATAAAAACAGACCAATTTTAAAGAGGTCTGATTTTTTTATTTATATATATATATATATATATATATATATATATATATATATATATATATATATATATAATTGACACTGTGGACAACAGTCTGTTTCAGGATAGAACACAATTGCGTAAATATAGCATACCTTAAAACTAATTTTTTTTATATATATATATATATATATATATATATATATAATATTAGTGATCAATATAATATATATATATATATATAAATTCCCAAGAGGATAGAATCCAGGTAGAACTCAATGTCCAGGACAGAGCAAGAATATAATATAAAAGGTTCAAACACTAATATTCCATAGTTATAATTTATTACATTGGAATCGTAATCACGATCCAAATCAGCTGACTTAAGAATTCAAAAAGAAATCAAAAAATATTTTCCGATTTCTTTTTAAATTTGTAGGTCTGAAGAATTGGATCGTGATTACGATTCCAATGTAATAAAATATAACCATGGAATATTAGTATTTGAGCTTTTTATATTATATTATTATATATATATACATATATATATATATATATATATATATATATATATATATATATATATATATATATATATATATATGATACATTTGTTAGATGTTTTGCATTACGTTTTATAGTGCTTTAGAGAAAATATTGCAAGATAAAAATTCCAGTTTGGGTTTTTTTAATTATCAAAAACAGCAATGAAACCAATTCATTACAAACCTTTGGGCGAGGTCAGCTAGCTGATAAAGTTACTCCTTATTACTACTTACAACATCTCTTATTCACTCTGTCTGTTCCATGCTAGATACAACCCTAGGATTGTATCTAGCATGAAACAGACTGTCGCCTCTAAGTGTTGTCTTCTATGTTCACTTTTATATTTACACACGCTCTATCTCTAATATTGAGCACTTTTTATCCCATAAATATAGCTTCATCTTAAGATATATCTTATATATATATATATATATATATATATATATATATATAGAGTCGTATTTTAATCTATTTATAGACGTGGAAGCTTTTGTATTTAGGTGGAATTTGTTTCGCACGTGTATTAGTTGTATCTCAACGTCTGCAAATGTATTGATATAATTGTGTATATGTCTCTACTAGTGGGTGTATTTATGCATCTGCCTGGCAATATCTTACGCACATGCGCATAAACGTTTAAATGCTGCTCTTGCTGACAGTTCTGTTTTGAATATATGTGCGCGCGTAATATTGTGTATGAAAACAAACACGCGACAGAATGTTTTTAGACGGCAAGAAGATATCTTTAAATTATAAAAATGTCACTTAAAAAAAAGGAAAACTTTTTACTCGGCCTTTTGTCTTGTGTTTCTGAAATATGATATAATTTCATAAGGAATCTAGAACATCAAGGCTCTCTTTTTTCCTAAGTGTACTAAAAGAAATTATGTTTTTATGAAATCATGGCTACTACTTAACATTAGCTCAACAAAGCTGGCGGCCACCCACATTTTTTGTCATTAGTCGACTAAATTTTTTTTTAATTACTTGCGCTTGTG